TTTCCCTTGTGTTTTCGATTCAAAACCAATGCACCATAGCAAATTACATCATTTCTGTAGAAAGGCTTAACCAATACATGCATATACCAAGTGAAACCCCTGAAGTGATAGAGGAGAATCGTCCACCATCCAACTGGCCAATGGTGGGAAAAGTTGATATCCGTGATTTGCAGGTATAATATTTCTTTGCACATACATAATTCGTCTATTCCGCACCAGTTATTCTTAGAAAAAAAATATTCGAACAGATCAGATATCGGCCGGATTCTCCATTAGTTCTTAGAGGCATTAGCTGCACATTTCAAGGAGGGCACAAAATTGGTATTGTTGGCCGTACTGGAAGTGGGAAGACAACTCTAATCAGTGCTTTATTCCGTCTGGTCGAGCCAGCTGGAGGGAAGATTACAGTTGATGGCATCGACATCTCTACTATTGGTCTACACGATCTGAGGTCGCGTTTCGGAATTATACCTCAGGATCCTACCCTTTTTAATGGAACCGTGAGATACAATTTGGATCCTCTATCCCAACATACAGACCAGGAGATATGGGAGGTAAAATTTGATCTTCTTTTTGTAAACAATTTCTCCTTTCCTGTTAATGCTAAAAGTACTATGGTAACTGATTTCATCTGCATATTAAGGTTCTTGACAAATGCCAACTTCGAGAGGCTGTTCAGGAAAAAGAAGATGGACTGGACTCCATGGGTAAATTATCCGGAAAGACCATTCTTGTACGTTTAATCTCTTTATAGTGACACTGTTTACTGAAGAAATAAATAAACCGGTCATGCAGTTGTGGAAGATGGATCAAATTGGAGCATGGGGCAACGACAATTGTTCTGTTTGGGGCGTGCTCTTTTGAGGAGAAGTCGTGTACTGGTACTCGACGAAGCGACTGCATCGATTGATAATGCAACGGACTTGATTTTACAAAAAACCATTCGCACCGAATTTGCCGATTGTACTGTCATCACAGTTGCACACAGGATACCGACCGTTATGGACTGCACGATGGTGCTTGCGATCAGTGATGGTGGGTTTCTTTAAAATGCTTATCCAAGAAGTGACCTTTACGTATGAATGTACTTAGCTTGTAATAGAACCAGCGTTTTAAGTGGATGAATGTTGTTTCCATTATGTTTGCAGGCAAACTTGTGGAGTACAATGAGCCGACGAAACTGATGGAGAGAGAAGGCTCTCTGTTCGGGCAACTTGTGAAGGAATATTGGTCCCATTATCACTCTGCAGAGTCACGCTGAGGTTCGGAATCATTTTTCGCAAGCAAGACTCCTTTCTCTCTCTCAGCTGGATCGAAATAAGCGAAATCAAGAAGTTTGATGTTTGGTTCATCTATGTTTCTGGGTTTGAAAAGGAAGTTGGAGACAAGCTATACTTATTAGCTTCGGAGGAAGCAGAAGAGATGCCATTTTAACATCGTCATTTCTTGATTCTCAAGGCAATGAATCAATAATCTTTCTCCATTAAGCCCGATGTCGTAGTATGTTCCCTTCTTAATTTAAACATGTTAAAATTCTCAACAGCTTAATCCGAATGCCACATTTATCTTATTTCCAATCTTCTTCATTAGAACTTGAGCTATATATATAATATAAACTACACATGTATTAATATTGTGATTAAGCTGATCATTAGCACTTAAACTATACATGAACCTAGCATGTCAAAGTCCGAGAGCATTTTAAAACACCCGCCGCGCTTGTCAATTTTCTAACCGATCCAGCATCGGCAACCTTAAAGTACTGTTCCGGGCTATAATTAGGTTTTTCTCCACCTATACCTGTTTGCTTACTGAAAGAGGCTCCATTCTTAAAAGGATCTCCTTCTGAATAGAATTTCCATAAAGCTTTATCCGCCTTTTCTCCATGTGACCTCGTTGTCACCTGCATTTGGAACAACAAAAACATTGGCTTTACTCTTGATGTTGGGGCTCATGCTTCCACCAATGGCATATTGTTCCCATCCTAGGTAGAAATTGTTGGCTACGTGAGCGTATCCATGACGGACTCTGCTATGTAGTAAACGACGACGGTCAGAAAAATGGCGTAAATATGCGATTTCGTACTTGCAAACAGTCGGATAAATGGAGCTATTTCTCATTACCTTGGTTCCTGAACCGATTGTTAGATATGGTAATATCGGTTGAACCACGAGTGACATCGAGACCATCTTGACACCCATACAATGTATTATGATCGATCCAAACTTTCGTTGCTGTGACCAATCTTATAGCATCACCTTCCATTTGACCAAGGGGTATGACCTTCGAATCAGGGCCCATCACGGTGCTGGTGGTTGGGACTTGCAATGGTGGATGCGTAGCCATGGATGGTTATATCGGTAGCCTTATAAACCACGAGGCAACCGGCGCCGGTTACGTGTAAGTCGACACCACAACCATCAATTGTTGTGAAACTGCTCAAGAAAAGTGGCCTTTGTAGCTCGATTCGCATGTTGCTTTTGAAAGTGATCCATACTTTGCCCTTGATTATAGTGGGTTCATATCGAAGGATTCCTTGTTTAGGATTTACAGGGTCATCGGAAGGATCATTTACCTTATATTTCACGACATCTTTACTAATGTTGGTGGTCATTTTGCCTGTAAAACCAATAGAGCATCTGACCAATTGTTGCCGTTGACTCCACCAAAGACATGCCATTAAAATGAGTACGAAAAGGGTTGATTTGAATCACCACGATAACATCGTAGCCATTGTTGAATTGTTTTCTCTTGAATTTCCTCTCTGTTAATTTTGTGTGGATAAAAAGATGGAAAGCTACTGAGAGATGATTGATAGATTTATACAACAAAAGGAGCAAAATTGAGTAGTAAAAAATAATAATTTCATTCAATTTAGTCATGGAGTTATAAAATGGACTTCGGTTTGTGGGTTATATTGTTACACAAATATTATATGAATCAATTAATTTGAAATTTGTCTCTTGATAAGTTCTTACAATTAATAAATTAAAGTTGGTTAATTAATTTAAATTAAATATTATATAATCTCATTAAAGAAATAACCTTCTCACCCGCTCTCTCCCTTCACCCTCTCCCCATTTTTTTTACAGTTTGTATTATTTTCTAGAGATCAAATCAACTTTTTCTTCTTTGATTTTATTTAGTCGGCGGCGGTATTAATTTTGATATTGGTTGTCGACCGCCGATTATCTTTTTTCTTTGTTTCTTTTTTATTTTTTAATGAGAATAATTATGTCTGTGTGACACGTTTATCTCTGTCTTTTGGTAGTTTTCAGTTTGTTGGCCTTTTTTTCGTTTATCTTTTTGTACGAGGGTTGAATTTGACATCGCTACGACTAATCAAGATGACACTTCTTTGTTATCATGTTGATTTTTCATGCTTTGGACCCTCAGATTGATTTGGATACGCGTTTCAAGTTTGTGGATAGCGTTCTCACATCGCTCGACTCCGATTTATGATTTATTTGTGGTCTTTCTGTAGCTTCATCCCCTTTTGTGATTCGTTTGCCGATGCAATCAGATTTGTTCGTATCTTTTTTGTTCGAGCTTTATGTTTAGGTTTTTTTAATCTTTTCCTTCTTTGGTCTTTATGTAATCTAGTTGGCTAGTTTTGTCTCAATTATAATAGAAAAATATCATAATATATTTTAGATTTACGATTATGTTTGTAAATCTAAAATTGTAATTTTAAATATATTTTATTTTTAATAAAACTAACGGATTTCTATAAAAAAATAACCTTCTTAATTCAATCTCATTTCATAACACTATAATTCAAATTCATAATTTTACTTAAAATACCTAATATTTCGCCTCAAACTAATTGATAATTAGTAGGTTTTTTTAATAATCTGTTATTATGTTCTTTTTTTGTATTTGAATTTTTATAAATTTATAATATTTATATATTAATAGTTAATTTTATGTTGACTTTGATACAACAATATGCTTGTTCACTTGTTTATTCTATAGTATTTTAGTTACTTTATAATTAGTGATAGCTGGAAGAATAATTGGTGCACGAAGTATAATGCTAATTTGCCAAGAGAAAAAACAAAACAAAGATGAAATATTTAAGTAATTAATCCATGTTCAAGGTATCTAAAACCATATTTAAGGGCCAAATGAGTTTAAAAAATCGATGACCAACTAAATATTAAGGCAAATCCAAGAGATAAAATACACATTAACCCTTAAAATTTATGAAGAAAGTTGGGGAAAATGAAGTCAGCTGGATCAGCTTAGCAGACACCTGCCAGGGATTTTTCTTTAAACAGAAAATAACTAGACTTTTTGGTAAAATATATTTGAATAAACTACGCGTTTGGTACTTAAACTATCAGTTTTAGTCGTGTTATTTTTAATTTTTATTTTAAAATCATAGCTAATATTTAATTTTTGTTTCATTTTAGTATCATATCGTTAAAAACTTAACGGACCGGTTGATGTGACATAACTCCGATGGATGGACGACAAATCTGAATGATGGACCACGATCGGAGTATGAAGAAATAGAAGAGTTCATCGTCTATTTGGAGAGATTGAGACATTTCTCGGTGAAATTGAGGTTGAAATTGCATTCAGGGGTCGAAAAGGTGCGGGATGAAAATTTTGAGCTTTATCGGTCGAGGGATGAGACGGCTAGTGACTATAGAGCGACGACCGGTGAGCCCGTCCGTTAGGTTTTTAACAACGGGTATTAAAATGAATCATAAATTAAATATTAAGTTTGATTTTGAAAAAATAAGGGGGAAAATTTTAGGTACTAAATTAGGCTAAAAATGATAGTTTAAGTACTAAACTCATAGTTTACCCAATATATTTTTATCTACCTGGCATGATCTGTTGTTTACAAATAACGGGCACGACCTTACCATGCCGTTTTATTTATTGCATTCAGTTTGGATGACTTTGATCTTATTGGATGGGGCTGCATTTCAAGTCGCTATAAAGACGAAGCTCATTAGCACATTTCGAAGCACAAATCTTTAGCAAAAATGGCAACAAAATCTCAACTCAAACCAATCTTCTTCTCTCTCGTTCTTGTTTCAGCACTGATCGCAACTTCGGATGCCCTCGACATCGGCATCGGAACTTCCAATGCCGGCGGCATCGCCGTCTATTGGGGCCAAAACGGCAACGAGGGCACCTTGGCAGCAACATGTGTCACCGGAAGATATGCCTACGTTAACCTAGCTTTCCTTAACCAATTCGGCAATGGTAGTACACCGGGACTCAACTTGGCCGGCCACTGTAATCCAGCGTCCAACGGCTGCGCCTTCCTCAGCAGCGACATAAGGAGCTGCCAAAGCCGAGGAATCAAGGTCATGCTCTCCATCGGAGGCGGCGTCGGCAGCTATTCACTCGCTTCTAAAGCAGACGCCAAGAACGTAGCTCGTTACCTATGGAGAAACTTCCTCGGCGGCAGTTCTCATTCCCGTCCCCTCGGCAACGCCGTGTTGGACGGCATCGATTTCGATATAGAGCTCGGGTCTACTCAACACTACGATGACCTCGCTCGTTATCTTTCTGCTCACAGCAAACCAAAGAGAAAGATTTATTTAACGGCGGCTCCTCAGTGTCCGTTCCCGGATAGATTCTTGGGGGCTGCCCTTAACACGGGCCGCTTTGACTACGTTTGGGTTCAGTTTTATAACAATCCGCAATGCCAATACGCGTCGGGCAACACCGCCAACCTCTTGAACTCGTGGAATCAGTGGACTTCTTCAATAAACGCGAGGAAAATATTTATGGGGTTGCCGGCGTCACCGGCGGCGGCAGGAAGCGGGTATATTCCGCCGAATGTGTTGACTTCTCAGGTTCTGCCGGTTATCAAGACATCATCAAAGTATGGCGGCGTTATGCTTTGGAATAAGTTCTTTGATGATGCAAATGGTTACAGTGCCTCCATTGCAGCTAGTGTGTGAGCCAAAAGTTCTGTTTATTTTATGTACTCTCCTAAAAGACTTGGTCTTCTTCGCTAATAATGTAATAAAATTGAGAGATTTATCTCTCATTATTTGATTTGAATGAATTTTTGTTTAATTATGATTATTATTACAATAACATTTACAAATATTATTATTTTGACATAAATTTTACAGGTAATCTCCCAAGTATAGATAATTAGATTACACATTTCTAATATTTAACTTTTTCGAATAAAACTATTAATTATAATATTTTTACAATTAACCATCAATACAAAATGTAATGATGGTAACGAGGCTGGTTCAAGTGGTAAACAAATTGATATCGCTTAAGTAAGCTCTTAAATTCGAGTCCTTGTGTATATAGAAAATCCCGTTGGAAGACTCACCCACCAAAAACAGGTGTGCGGCCCGAGTCGATCCAGATTAATCAGGGTAAAACCTTTGAACTAGAGGGTAAAAAAATACAAAAATTAATGATAAGTATTGATTGTAAATTACATAATATAAATGTTATAGATTGTAAAATGATAAGCATAATGAATGATATTAATAGTAAACTATTGCAAAATATAAATAAAATTATAAATTTAATTTAACAATTAATTATTAATATAACAAACAAACTACTAAAACTAGGGTAATCAACCTTTTATCCATAACACTATAAAAATCGTTTCATAACTCCATAACTAAACTGAACTAAATTACATATCCTCTTTTAGTTCTTCAGTTTGGCTCCTTTTGCTGTATACATCTGTCAACCATCTCTCATTAGTCTTCCATCTTCCTATCTACACAAGATTAAAAGGAGAAGAAATCCAAGACATAAGAATTCAATTATGGCTACAATATAATCACGGTGCTTTACATCATCACTTTTTGTGGTCGTTTTAATGACATGTTCTAATGTCACATAGGTAAGTATCAACGTTCTTGGCGTCTGCTTTTGGAAGACAGTGTGTAGCTGCAGGGGGCGCCTCCGATGGAGAGCATGACTCTGATGCCTTGGCTATCTTTATTGGATGATAGATTTCATTTACCGAGTTACATGTTGGTTCATCCTTATTCGATTTTAAATTCTAATTATCGAGTTACAGGCTGATTCATCTTTTATGGATGATAAAATCTAATTACCGAATTATAGGCCGGTGCGTCCTTATAGGGTGGTAATGTCTAGTCATCGAGAAACTGCATGGTGAGGTAGATGGGATTGTGGTTGCATTGCACGCATATTATGTTTGATGTTGTATGAATATGTCATATCTAAAGTATTGTTTACTGTGAATTAGCTGTATGTTGTGTTTGTGTTGTTTGACTCACACTTAAAGGGCAAACAGAGCTCTATAATTCATCCTTTAGTTCTATTCTTTCAAATTCGTTCGATAGGATTATTTTGATACTTGGAGGATCGACCAACGATATATTCTATTATGGAATTATACTATTATTTATTTATGTAACGCCTCAAATCTCGGATTAGTAGTTCAAGTCAACCAGGGACCTATAATTGAGCCCAAAAGAACCTATTAGAATAGATTGGACCAAATTAAGTTGAAAGTGAGCTTGAGTTGGACCCAAGATTTGGAGAATAGTAATGATCTTAATAGGAGATAAAAGAAGAGGGACCAAAAGTGTAATTTAACCATTTCTTAAATCAAAGGATAAAAACCCTTTATATTATGTGATTTCCACGTGAACCACCCTTATTTCCTTACCAAACACTCTTCCTTTCTCCTATATTTTCTCTATTCTTCTTCTCCTCCTCTCAAGTTTAAGGAAAAAGGTGAAAGCTTTAAAGATTTTAAGTTTAGTTTGGTTAAACCAAGGTGAGAATATCAATCCCTATCATTCAAGCTTCGATTTAAGCCCTATATCTCAAGTTTTGGTTTTGGTTTCATAAAATGAGTTTTAGGGAAGTTTAAGGGAACCCAATGATTCAAGTTCGTTTAGTGGAATCAAGTTGTAAGAAGTGTTTTTATCTTCCATACAAACACCTAGTTGAGTTAATAATCTGTTTTTTCCCTTGCATTTAATTAGAGAAGGAGGTGGGGAAAAACTCTAAAGTTAGAGGAAAAGAGATATTAACCATTAGTTGATTTCATTAGAAATTTCAGCAGTTAGGACACAAGGTAACACATTCACAACTTTTTCATATCACTTGTGAGTAATTAGAGATGTATTCTAGCTTAGAGTTGAGTTATGGAGCATTCATGATATATTCCATGTTTTGTAGTTATTAGCATGTTTAAAGCCTTATTTATGACCTTTTTATATCCCATAAAATATTAATAATGAATGGGGACCTCAATAGGACATTTTAGGTGAGAGCATTTTTTAAGGTGAGTATCAGTACTGGAAAAACAAAACTAATATTGTTCTTAGGGGAGGTATAAAAATCAAAGTGATTTTGAGGAGAGTATCGATACTCATCCTAAGAGTATCGATACTCAAGGTTCAATTTTGAAACCCGAGAAGAGGGTATCGAGATCGTTTTTCCATATAACAATTTTAGTATCGGTACTCAAGGGAGTATCGATACCCAGGTAGAGTATCGATACTCCCCATATGAGTAGTGATACCACTCATTTTCTTTTGAGTAGAAAGTAGCTAGAGAGTATTGATACCCTGATAGTAGTATCGATACTCAAGAGGCAGTACTGATACTAATAGTCTTAGTATCAATACTTAAGTGCTAGAAGAGTATCGATACTCAAGGTTCAGTTTTGAAACCCGAGAAGAGGGTATTGAGATCGTTTTTCCATATAACAATTTTAGTATCGATACTCAAGGGAGTATCGATACCCAGGTAGAGTATCGATACTCCCCATATGAGTAGTGATACCACTCATTTTATTTTAAGTATAATTTAGCTAGAGAGTATCGATACCCTGATAGTAATATCGATACTCAAGAGGCAGTACTGATATTAATTGTCTTAGTATCAATACTTAAGTGCTATGTTGGGGCATAAGTTTTCAAGACATTTTTATTAGACCATGAGGTTCCCAAGAACTCTATAATTCCTCTCAAATAAGACTACAAGTGAGAACAATATTAATGATTAATTACAATTAGAAATGAGATAACTTAGGGCAACAAAAACTAGCTTTGATTGAATACTCGGGAAACAATAAATAAGGCACCCGGGTTACTTTAGTAAATAATACTAGTATCGAGAAATATAATCAAATTGGATATCCTTAGGGGTGGATTAGTCGAGGGTGTTGTGTCCGATGTAGAGATTATGGTATTCATATTTAGTAGACTAGATGGGTGCATGAGCTCCGAGATACAAAACCCTCATCTGCATCATGATATCTACCATAGAGTAGAGAGTGAGTATACGAGTATACTCACTACTACATTTTACTTGATAGCTTGAGTATTCGATGAGCACATTTAATATGGTTTAGTTGTTAGTGTGGCACTAGGCCAGTGAGCTCAAGGTTTGTAATTAGTTTTCTTACGCATATTAGTTGGAGGAGCATTCAAGGAGCCTTTTGAGCAGCCGAGATCCAGACCGAGTTCAGAGCAGAGTACGTCTCGAATTATTTCTTTAGAGGGCATGTATTATTTATAGACCCTGTTGTATATTCAAGTCGTAACTTTATTTTAAAAAGTTGTTTTGTATATTTTGATATACTTATTTTGGGAGCTCCTCAATGTAAATTTTATTTATACTTTATGGATGAACTTCTTTATTCTAAATGGTTTTAAATTGGTCATTTTTAATTTATAAATTTAAGAAAAATTTTGGGTTAGCCACTCATGTGGTTCTGTGTGACATTCTAGTTAGTCTACTGTGTGTCGTACTGGTTTGGGGTGTTACAATTTATCTATTTTATAAACTATTTTGATATCATTTGCCTTTTTAAAGATGAAAATGTTTTATGAATTATTGACAGAGTGATCTTCGAGATTTGATCATAATGTTTAGGCTCTTCTATGGGGTTACAATGAAACTCCAAATCAAGATAACAATCTTCTTACTATAGACACTCATTTTTATTTAGGGATTATTTTGAATTTCTAGTAGTGTTTTATTATATTATATAGTATATGGTATATTTTATATTTATATCATATATAATATAATATTTATATATTACAATACATTTTTATAATATAGTATCTGTTTTATATAGTATATCATTATGTTTATATTTATTATTATATATTTTATATTATATAGTGTTGAACCATGTTTTATAATATTTTGATATAACAAATTAAAAGTAAAATATTTTTGGACTTGATTGAATTTTTTAAAAGTTTTTAAAAATAATTCAAAGTCCATTAAAGGAAAATGTGAGCACAAAACAACTTTTCAGGGTAGGTACTATTGATATTGTTCTTACAGTATTGATACTACATGAACAATACTAATATTGTTCATGTGGTACCGATACCAATGGTAAGAGAAGTATCGATACTCTCTAGGTAGTATCGATACTACCAGTTGTTTCCAAATTGCTGAAATTCCAAAATGTAAAATAGGAATTGATACTCAAATGAGTATCGATACTACTTTACATAGTATGGTCACAAGGAATATACTTGGTCCTTTAAAGAAAGAAAAACATTTTAAAATTAAACAAGTGCAGATTCCTAAGGGAACATGGGGCATTGAAACTAATGTTCAAGGATCTAAATCAATTTGGATACCAAAATCCAAATAAATGTCTCTTGTAGGTGTGTAGGAACAGTGGTGATGAAAGTGAAGATACTCAAATGCTTTAGTCACACCTGAAAATGAATGGGTAACCTTTAAGCTTATTTTGATTATCTTGAGTATAATTGGTTGCTCATTTAGTTTAAGCATGCACGAGTTTTTGTTTTAAATGATTTTATGTTTTCTATCTCATGTATGTTAAAAATATGTTATGATGGACATTTTTAAAGTTTAAATGATTTTTCATAAATGTTTGTTCATCATAATGAATTTTGGTCAAAATTGATTTTAATGCTTTGTTTTTCATAAACTTTTATTTTTGACCTTAATTTAAATGTTTATGCATGTAATTTATTGCCAGAGATATCTTTTTCTAACAATTGATATCATTTTATTTAAAT